AAACAACTTTCATTTTCGCATTCGGATTTTTTGATAATAACTTTGAAATAGCATTGTTAAGTGAAACACTTACAATATTTTCGATAAATTTTATTAATCTAAGCTATATAATCAATACAAACAAGCTTTTGTTTACTTCTCTTCTTATTATTATTTTTTATGTTTACATTGATTCGAAAACCATATATTTTTGTTTACATTTTACTGTTAAAATCAACGTGATAGCTCTACTGTCCATTGTCGTCACTACTTCGGAGCTTTTTATAATGGAAAACGAAAATAACGCTTCATTATCTCCATGTCTTCTCCCAAAGTCCTTATAAAAAGTAATGAAAGAAATTATTTGCAAAAAAACAAAAAACAAACGTTTCGATAAGAATAACGGCTTAGTGTATACATTAAAAATCGATGATTAAGCTTAGCTTTCTTCACAATGAAAACCAAATAACTGGAATCGACTAGAATTTATAGTAAACACATTGAAAGGTGTTTGTTTGTTCGTTCGTCTTTTAAAGAAATTTGTAATGATATCTTTGAGTTATCATTTGTAGAAAATTTATTTGTCATTGATCGTAAAATAGTTTCGAAAATTCGTTACGACCGGTCACTTGAATCAAACATTCGTTTAATTTGTGTAACTTTTAAAACGGAAAAAGTACAAGCAGAACAAATGATTTATGTGATTTGTGTGATCGTTACGAATATTTATTTTCATTTAAAGGCAAGACTTAAAAGTTATATATACGCCATTAAACAAATATTATCTATTTATTTATTTTTCTTTTTAGAATATATTTTAAGTTAGATTTGAATGCAAGAGAGAGAAATATATATAAAGTCAAACTATATGAAAAGTAACAAGGTGTGCTGTTGTTATTGTTACCACCCCGCACACTTTAATATTATATTAATTGGCTCTTCGGGCTATTAGCAACCTTTTTACGAAAACAAAACTGGTGTCAATATGTCTGCTTACAAAATCTCAGTCACGGATCCTTAGGTTTTTTTTTTTTTTTTTTTTTTGATATTATTATTATTTATTTATTTTTTTTTTTTCAGAGAACTTGTTCTGGTTTTAATTATTTTAACTCGAACGTACGTAGACATGCATATAGTGTGACCAAGCTTATAGATTCCAGCAATGCAGTGCTGCATTTTAAAACATTATGCTGCTAGTGCTTTCTTATACTGGCTCGAACGCTCTCCACAAAAATTCTCTCACACGATCAATTATTACATACATATATTCCAAATCAAATTAACATTCTGTACTGACTTAATATATATATATATATATATATATATATGTATATGTAGTTCGTATATGTGGCTGCAAACCGACAAAGTGGTGAACGAAAGATTAACTTCGTCTTTAGGAAACTGACAGTGTCATGTTGTCACCAGAGACAGACAATGTTCACTAATGCTGAGTGCGTAGCTAAACACTATCTTATATCACATTCGCTTCCAAGATAGTAAATTAACCCATTATCGTCTCCTTTCTTGGTAAAAAAGTGATTTTCTGAATAAATTTTGGTTTATTTTGTACCATAATCCATTATGCCAAAATTATCCGCGCAGCTAGTCTTCAAGTATTTGTCCTTCTTTTGTGAATGTAGACAAAAATTTTCTTCTACTTGTGACTTAAGGTTTGACGCAAGAGTGGCAAAGTTACATCTCCATCAGTCTTTATATAGAAAATTAAGTATTGTCTGGTTAGGTAACTCTACTCTACTATTACGGAATTCGATTATTAACTCGGAATTTTCATAAAATTATCAAGAACTATATCTGAAATATACCTATTTGTTGCTGATCTGAAATAAGTTATCTACTGCATAATACTGCCTTAAGACTGCACGAAAGTGTTAAATTTAACTCGAAAATATTTGGTCACTTTATACACAAAGACTATATCTATGCACACAATCTGTACATAAAGCGATAATGTATATATACATAGATTTGTGGAAATAATTTGATGTGGATTCTTTTGAATGGAGTTTTATATTATATTTTTTTCTTCTCTCTTTTGCCAAATCAAGTTTTTGTTATCATAATTTTAAGTCAACTTTTCACTAGAGCTCGCCATTTAACGTATTTTTTTATCGTAATTACAATTAAAGTGTGTAATTTTTAATGTTTTTTCATTTTTTTTATAAAAAATTGAACGAATTTTGAAAATTTGTATTCACCTGCCGTTGATTAAACGATAAAGAAATACAATTATAATTATAAATGAAACTTAATTGTTTTTTTAAATATAACTTTAAGCAATCAGTTGCTTTAACACGTGCGTTCACTTCAGACAGAATCTGTCCACCTTCTCTACGGAATGAACACTAAAATTAAGTTATTCTTTTTATAAAATTTAAGCTGATGTCTTTAGGATCATCTTGTAATTTTCTAGCTACTAAATTTCATTTATTTTAGAAGAATTTGCCGTGATCAATGGACATAGATTGAATGATCAGATGTGCCTTTCGTTTAAAGTGAATACATTTTATAAACTTTATAAACACACGATGTCCGATGACACACACAGATGAATTTTTGCGTAATCGGCGCCCTCTAAAGAGTTAGACAATCCCAATAAGTTAGGGGCGTGAACTGCACTGCAAGAACTAGATGTATTTGTTGTGTATAACGCAATAAACCCGCTCTGGGGGAAAATGATAAGTTACATCGAACACTTTAAACATTACATTGTAAAAACGAGATCATGCTTTAAATAATAACGTAACCCTAGCGGACTTTCTCGCGCTACTAGGCGCTTGGTCGTAGCGAGTATTAGCACAACGAGACATTTTTTCTTCAAAATCTTTGACAATCCCTCAGAGAGATCATTGGACGTATACATTCTTTAATCGCAGAGATCAATCTATCAAGTTCCGAGGAACGTAAATTGTTGTTTGAAGTTATTAGGCGCTGAGATCTTATTACAAACGGCTTGGAGCGTGAGCTGGGAGAAGGCGTGGGAGGTGAAATGGGAGAAGGTTTAGAAATAAACCATTTTCTTTTAACGACCGCATTAAATTTTTTCTTTGTTAAAGTCTTATTAGCGTTTTCACTCTCATCTCTTTTCGTAATGGCGGATGAGTTCGCCAATAGAGGGAAATTGTCATCGTAGGAGTTGCCATCAAGGCAATCAAAGTAATTTGAGGAAAACTTCTCTTTCCCTTCTTTATAGGAAAGATTTTTAATTCACGCTCCCTATTCGAGCAACACTTGTTTGGACCGTTGTGCTCCTGTGAACTACAGGACAAGCACGTCATCGTTTCACAGTTTTCGGGTTTGGGAGACTTCCCGCAGTTCAGACACCGGTCCTCCTTGGCCATTAGTATTGAAAGTTTTCAAATAATCATAAAAGAAAAGATCCGAGCTGATATTCATACGTTTGCCTTCGGCGTTTTCGCTTGTTTCAACAAAAACTAATAAATTGCATTGTTATATACAATCGTACAAACTGATATCGTAATTTGGGATAGCTTTGGCATCCAAATGAGAAGGCTTCTTAACTGCCTGTTTTGTAGACACCGTTAAAATCATTAGCCTTTTTTCTCCTTTGAGAGATAAATCAACTTCATCCCCACCCATCATCGATCTCTTAATATGCTCAGTGGCATTTATAAAACAATCTGCAAAATCATCTGTATCTGTCGTAAATAGATCACTCCCCGTCTCCATAGGGAGATAGGCTCTATGCTGTTTTAGCTGCAATTCCGGCGAAATTGAAATCCGGACGAAAAAAGGAAAAATATAATATGTATATTAAAAAAAAAAAGCAAAACAAAAAAAGCGGTACAAATAACCATAAGCAAAAAATGTATAATGCTTTCGCTCTATTTCCCATCTTCGCAGTCGTTTTCTCATCAAGAACTTTATAATTTATTCTCTGCACTTCTTCCCCCTTTACTTATATTATAGCTGGAACATCATCTGTGGCTCGACAAGGAATACAAGTCGTAGTACTGTTTTAGAAAAGGCCTTCGTTCAAAACGATCTCTGCATTTTAAATGATAGAAGATCAACATCTTTTTCAACTTATCACACTTTTTCGGATATTGATTTAACATGTTACCTCTTCATTTGATTTCCTGATGTATTTCTAAAGACCTACATAATAGTGCTCACTTATCAATAACCATTAATCTCAACCTTTCAAATTCGTCTGTTATTCTGGCCAGAACTAGTTAAATTCCTCGTAGATAAAACGGCTTGAATTAATTACTCGAAACATGCCGAGCCAATTCTGAATTCACAACCTTTTAACGGGAATGGGATGCTGCTATTAAGGGCATTCGTACAGCTGCTCATCTCTCTACGCATCAACCCAACAGCTTTTTTAGACGAGTTAAGCGTCTTTGGCGGAACAAAAGGCTCTCGTTATTGAGGAAGAACAAAATAGATTTATGGCATCGTTTTAAAAGACATCCTGACCATGACCATTTGTTATTATATAGAAAAACGAACGTTCAATTCAGGAAGGAGTTGCGAAAAACAAAGACATTCAGTTTTGAACTTTTTTCGAAAAGAATTTACAAAAACATATTAATTAAAACTTGTCAGGAACGAAATCAACAAACTGAGTGGGACTTCAAAATCTTAAAGGCAATGAGTAATGCCTAAAAATGAGTTTAGATTTCAAGAACTTGGTATAATAATCCACACAAAGAGTAACGACAGTTTAAAATATTATTTATAACCCACCATTTAAACCACGCATTACGCGTTGCACAATATACTCTGATTGACTGACTAACTGCTAGATTAACTGATTATACAACTAAGCGGTTTTCGTTAATAGTGAACTTTTATCACTTGTAAAGACAAAAGTATACTGCGATCATTTCGAAACCTCTCTTCCTACATAGATAAAGTAGCCTTCAGCATTCAAATTTTGAAATGTGTAGGATCGTAGGATTGTTTACGAGTATGCAACGAAATTATGTTTTCCTGGTTTTTTATTGTACAGGTATTTTATTTTCTTTTTCTTTCAGCACAACCGTCAAGATTCTATATATGCCAAGTTACCCAAGGCGGCTGCTGCAATACCAACGGCAGCAACAACGACAACCTCTAGCGCAAGCATCTCTCTCACAACAACAGCGGCTACTCAATATACGATTACAGCGGATGTTCACAATAGTATCAGCAACGATAGCAACAATAATAGTACTAACAATAATAACAATAGCAACAGCAACTATAGCGGCGGCGAAGTTCATGCCTCATCATTTGCAACACCACCAACACGTCGTCGTTTTTTCAATCACAAAAACTTACGCAATGCCTTAACCGGCGGTGTTGGTCATCGGCGTACCGCTTCAAATGGTGGCTGTCCCATAGATACCGTCTCAATTTTATCCGAAGGTAATGTTTAGATATGAAAACATAAACACTCCAATACGATACACATGTGCAAATAACTTGGAAAATATAACTTTCAAATAATAACTTATGACTTTAATGATTTGCTGATCATGAAGATGCATCATCCTCAATGGAAAGTTCACAATTCTTCAGTTCTACGATTGTCCACATACCGATTCCGTCCCGAAGAAATTTAATTTATATTTAATTTTCTTATTTATAAGCCCACAACTTTCGTCTCGTTGTTGGACGAGAGACAACACAAATATTCTTAAAACTTTATTGAACACCGATTGGCTTAACCAATCGACATAACACCTGACACTTTCTTGATATCGTGCTTAAGAAAAACACTCTATTACGATTAAAGTGTCAGATTCCTTCGCATATAGAGCGACCAAATCAGTAGCACCTTATTAAGACGGTTATTGTAATTGCCTGCTTTTACTTTAGTTTAAAATGCTTCAACGGCAAAACTGCAGACACGTACACTTTGAGTAATTATGCAGCCATTCCCACGACGAATTACACACTTAGGGAGTGTTTCATTATTACTCCCGCGAATTATATGAAAGTTCTAGTTTGTCTAAAAAGCCAACCTGCTCAAAAAGATATATGGAATGTTTTTGTTGCAGCAACGAAAAAGAGTGATATACAATCAACGTTCCACTGTTTCGAAAAAAAAAAGCCTAAATTAATTTTTTGCCAACCCAATGGTTTAAAAGGAAAACGCATTCTTTATTTTTGTGCTAACTATTAACATAACATCCCACTGTAATTTAAAAGTTAAACACCTCCTCGGAATGGTTAGATAATCACCGAAAGCTTGACGGGAGCCGAAATCAGAAACCTAGAAAGTCAAACATACTGAACTATAATATATCCAATCCATGTTCTGAGAAGATTATGTGTTAACGTCATCATCAATATGATCTCTGATTCTTTTGTGATGATAGAGTCGTCATATTCCAAAGTCATTTAATAAAGGCGTACATACGGTCCGACAAATAATTATATGTGCAAAAATAGTTTAAATTTACTCCATCTAAAATATAAATAATAACGTGTACAATATATTTTTATGTCTTATTTATACACTCTCCTTTACCGGGTGGTTTTTTCTTTTTTCGCCGCCCATAACTGAAGTGATCGCAGTAAGTTTATAATTCAATAGAAAATAATTATATGTAAGCATTTTAATTTTTATTTTCTGTTTAATAAAAAATATTTCCTCATAGACGAATCAATCAAGACGTTTTTCGATATATTTGAAGGAGTAATTACGAAAAAATATAACTTTATCGGTAGTTGAAACTGCCCCTTAGAAGTAAACGTGCGGATGAGGAGCGCGGAAAAATTAAAGAAATGTGACTTGCTGATTGAAAATTGGCGAAGCAGCAGATACTCGCCGCGATGCAATCTCAAATTATTTAAAAGAACCTGATAAGTATGGTTGCATTAAGCGCAGTGGTCGCATCCCAACCGCAGATCAGTAGACCTAGCGAGTGCACGCCAATTAGCAATTAATAAAAATATAAATTGCAGGGAAATAAATGTACAGTTAGGTCTAAATATAACGAGACAACGAATGCAGCAATTTCTTAGAGACGATATAGGGCGTAGCTATGGTCTTAGAAATTGGCAAACCGCGCTTAATCCCCCTAAGCGCCCTAAAAATGCCCGTTTAGGAATATTATATTTAGCGAAAGGAAAAGTTGAAATTGGATGGAACTGATGGTCACCATAAATATTGGGGAGAGGTAGGACATGCTCAACTAACGTGTTACAAGCGTAACCATGGCTGTAAATTTCATACGATAGGGGCTGCATTTGGAGCACGAAGCACCCAATAAAATGAACGCGGAGGCATATGTTAACTTGTCAGAGAACAATTTAGTAGACTTTGCTGGAGAGTTATGTGATGATAAGTGAACGTCCTAACGAGACAAGGCTCCCATCCATGTCGCAAGGTTTACGAAGGATTTCTTTCATTCACGCAGTTTTACTAAAGTGGCCACTCATGATTGCCGGCATGAGCCTGATTGAGGACCTCTGGGAAATACTTTCCACCAAGATATCCTCAAACTCTAAGCAGTATTCTACACTCAAGGAGCTTAAACTTGAAATATTGTCCGAATAGGAAGAAAATTAATGTGATCACTGCGAGAAACGTGATTCTATGCCACTCAGACTACAATACCGTATATGGTTTACCAATAGAAATTAATATGAAGTTCAAATTTTGCACATATAATTATTTTCTACGAAGTACATATTGAATATGTTTTTTTCTAGTATAAAATATGAATTAAGATTACGTGATTTTTATATTCTTAAAACACACATAACTACAAAGCAGAAATTTAAAAAAAAATTTGTTCTTTGAACTAATACTCAAAGTAAAGCATTTCACATATAAATATTTGACGGGAATACGTTACACAGAATATTGTTCTAGTCCTGTAGTCCTGATAGCTGATAGAAAACATAAAACCTATGGTCGACATGTAATTAACTACAAACAATTTATTCATAGCTCAGGCCTTTTTTCCTGTTAAGAATGTCGTGAGACTTTCGAATTACATATTCTTCGGTTTCTCCTTAATTTCTAAATTTTTTGCCGTTAATTGCTTACCAGTCCCAATCATTTTTTTTTTTTTTTTCATTTACACGCATACACATTATTCAACTTATTTTTATAGGTAAAAATATCGAAAATGCTTTGAATACTTCGACATGTTCGGATTCGGCTGTGACCCGCAGACGTCGTAAGAATGTTAGTAACAAGTTGAGTTCAGCATCGGAATCAACAACAGCAAGCGAAAATCGTTTAAATCGTTTAAGCTTAGCGGGAACTTCAGTATACGCTGGTCATTTGTCATCATTAGTTCTCGGAAAAATAAAGTCACTTTGGGCCGTTCCATCCAATACGGCAGATAGTGGATTAATTCAATTTGCAGGCACGGTCCCACTTTCATTATAAACCTGTTTCATTGTTTTTCTCAAGCATGTGTTCGCCACGCGTATATATGTAGAAAGTAAAGCATGATCTTAATTTGGGCATGTTAGATGTTTTTTTTTTCCTATTACTATATTTTCTTATTAAGGAAGCGTTATAATTCTCACTTTTCATACCGATATTGCCCTTTCATTCACAGGTAGTGACAATTTAGTTAGTGATAACAGTAGCACGGTAGCTGAGAAGCAAAAGGATCAGTTACGAGCACGTTTAGGCTTGCTACTAGATAACGACACGAGCCCTGACGGTTCGAATACTACCACCACAACCAGTAGTAGCTCCTCACACAATATCAGCCCTCAACAAACTTTAGCTACAGATAGTTCCGGTTTATCTGTAGATCACTTCGGTGGGAGTCAGCTATCGGTAGCTACGAAAGATGATACGTATAGTTTGTGCGGCAAGCTGAAAACATGTTGTCTTACGGATACAAATGGTTACGAAGTATTCCCGGCTAAGTCACGCAAATCGGTTGTTCGACGCTCGAACCGTTCCGCACAACTCGGCAATAATAGCAAACGGAATGCCATATATAAATCTTCCTCAGTACCACCTGCCATTCAATTGGCTTTAAAGCCACTTTTCTTCGAAGTTCCTCTGCAAGAACCCGATCCACCCTTTATTGGACGTCAATGGCTACTAAGAGAGCTGTCAAATATACTTACTGGCACAGAAACTCCAGGAGTGCTTATAAATGGCAATCCAGGTACCGGGAAAACTGCTTTCATTTTGCAACTAGTAGAGTATTCTTGTTTTGGCCGACGCAAAAATGCATCTTCCGAAACGGATCCCGACGGTATTTACTACCAGATCAGTACGGCAAGCGACCGAATACGGGCTTTAGCCGCTCATGTGGTTGGTTATCATTTCTGTCAAGCGGATGCAAATTTAACATGCTTAGTACCAGATTTTGTACATTCCTTAGCCGCTCAACTTTGTCAAGCCCCACAATTGGCTGCCTACCGAGACTATCTACTCAGTGAACCTCACTTAAAAGGTATATTAAGTGTAAAGGAATGCATAGCTGATGCCGAACGCGTAATGCGAATGGCCATTTTGGAACCTTTAACAGTGCTTAAAAGAACCGGGAAAATTTTGGCCAAAACCTGCATTATTCTTGTTGATGCCCTCTGCGAGGCTGAATATCACCGCCCGGACCACGGTTATACCATAGCCACATTTCTTGCCAAAATTACCAAATTTTTTCCTTCATGGCTAAAAGTAGTCGCTACTGTCCGCACTCAGATGTTGGAATTTGTCAAAGGTTTATCTTACACAAAAATTACGTTAGATAGCTGGGCTTCAAATGATCTTTTGCAGAAAGATATGTTAGATTATATAACGTTTCGTGTGAATAACAGTGCAGAGATACAAAACAATGTCGCCATCGTTAAAGATCACAACACAGGGCAACTCAAATTTATTGGCCACCTCCAAAATTTAACTAAAGGATCCATGTTGTACGCAAAATTGATATTAGATCTCATTGAACGCGGTCAGCTCGTGATCAAGTCAACCAGCTACAAAGTCTTGCCAGTGTCTCTGGCCCAAATTTTTTTATTACATTTCAATTTAAGATTTCCTACCTCGTGTAGTTTCGAAAAGGCGGCCCCTATTCTTAATGTTTGTCTTGCTGCTTTGTACCCTTTAACACTGAATGAAATTTATTATACAATTTGTGCTATAAAAACCGATAAAGTAATGGCTTGGGATGAATTTCTGCAACGTTTTAGACTATTGGATGGGTTTCTTATTAAACGTATTGATAACACTTATATGTTTTTCCATTCATCGTTTCGAGAATGGCTAATACGTAGAGATGAGGGAGAGTCATCCAAATTCCTGTGCGATTTTCGTTTAGGCCATGCTGCGATTGCCTTTCGTCTTTCTCGCTTGCAAGCTCCTTTGGATCCAGAGCAGACTTTAGAGTTAGGCCACCATATGTTGAAGGCGCACATTTATCGCAATAGTCAAGGCCCACAATCGCCCCGCGATATGCAGGCCTATTGGATTTCTTCGGTCACCGATAATATCTCAGCAGCTTTGGGTGCCTTACGCAATGTTTACAGTCCAAATTTAAAAGTTTCCCGTCTCATGCTTTTAGCTGGTTCATCACCTCATTATCGCACTGAATTTATGGGTGACGCTACCATCTTATGCTTGGCTGCTCACGAGGGTATTGTTCCAATGGTGAGTTTACTACTAGAATTCGGAGCTGATGTTGGCCTAACCAACAGTCAGGGTTGTACGCCGTTAATTTTGGCTGCTATGCGAGGACATTGCGATGTGGTACGACTATTGGTAGCAGCTGGCAGTAGTTTAGGACAAACCGATACCACACAGAGGTGCGCTCTAGTGCACGCTGCGCGTATGGGTCGCCTTAATGTAGTTAAGTATTTGTTAGCTTGCGATTGGACGCCTCGAACCAATTCAGGTGATGTCAGTTTAAATTTGGCTTTGCAGCAAGCTTTGATAGGCGCTGCATCGCAAGATCACATCACAATTATGGAGGATCTGCTTGATATGGAAAACATAAATATAAATCAAGTAGAAATAACGTCTGGGGATCTAGCTTTAACCGCCGCCGCCCGCAATGGATGTTTGAATACTGTGGAGATACTGTTGTCAAGAGGTGCTAAAATAGATTCTCACAACAAGCAAGGCTTCACTGCTTTAGGACTTTCTGTTAAAGAAGGACATTGGGCAGTAGCTGAAAAATTATTAGAAAATGGCGCTGATCTTGATGAGTCGGTGACATCGGCCCGTAAAACTTCTTTAATGATTGCAGCCGAAGAGGGCCACATTGAAATCATGGAGATGTTGATCACACGAGGAGCCAATCTTGAAACTCAAGATCACGAGGGTTTTACAGCTTTATCCTGGGCATGCCTGAGAGGGCGCCAGACAGCTGCGAAGATATTGATGGATAAGGGATGCAATAAGAACCATGCCGACAACAACGGCAGAACCCCTTTGGACCTTGCAGCCTATCAAGGTTCTGCAAACTTGGTGCAGTATTTGTTGGAACAAGGAGCTAATATTGAACACGTTGACGTCAACGGAATGCGTCCTTTAGATAGAGCGATAGCTTGTCGAAATATACAAGTTGTGCAAGTCTTCCTAAGAAGAGGAGCGAAACTAGGCCCTACAACTTGGAGTATGGCCATGGGTAAGCCAGAAATATTGATAGTTCTGCTCAATAAACTGCTAGAGGACGGGAATGTTTTATATCGTAAAAATCGGTTTCAAGAAGCTTCGCATCGATATCAATACGCGCTAAGAAAAATATCTAATTTAGAAATCCTGATAGAAAAGAGCGCTATATTCGCGCAGTTACGTACGAATCTACTGCTAAATCTATCAAGATGCAAGAGAAAACTGAACGTAAGTTGTGACATCTATGAGAAGCAAATCAGTAATTTAATGTATTTCAATATATTCACTTTTAAGGTCCTTGAAGAATCTATAGATTTAGCTACGCAAGCCATTGCCCAGAAACCAAGCAGCTACGAAGGATATTATGCGCGTGCAAAAGCGCGAATGGACCATTGTGATCTCAACGATGCACTAATCGATGCTAATGAAGCAATGCAAAAAGCTGCACAAAGCGGTGTACTAACGGACGTCATTGATATCTTAAAACGTATTCAAGACGATCTATTAATCCGTATTAGCCAAGAAAAACGTATCCAATGCAATTGTAATGAAGAAACTTCTACAGAATCTCCGCACGAAATAACCGATTTATAAGTTATCGACTTCCTATGTGTGCCCATTACATTGTCTAAAAAAATCAATCAAAAACTATTCTCCATTCACCATTTCTAAACTCTTTTTTCCTTTCCCTAATTATCGTTTCCTTCCTTTCTTTATATTTATTTCGTTTAGAAACATTTAATTTTAATTAAATAGTGCTTGTTTAAACTGACTAAAAGCAAATTGTTTATACGTATATGCTTTGTTTATATATTTTATTTGTCATCATTAGTTTCAATTTAATTAAAATCAAATACATGTGATGTAAATAAATAAAACATTAATTCGTAGTTAAATTTAGTGAATGGCGTGGCGTGTATGCGTAACTATTTTAAAGCTATTTAAAATAGCATCATTTTAGGTAATCTCTTACCATATACAATATGTTCAATTGTTTTGCCGATGATTAATTTCTTCACAATCCCTTTTTCGGACTCACCATCACATAAAGATACGGCTCACAATCAGGGCATGTAAAAACTAAACAAGAGAATTATATTCGGATGTGACCGAATCTTTTACATTCACTAGCTATATCCTAACAAAGATGAAAAAACAAAAAAAAAACTGAAGAAATCCACTTCTTTTACTTTACAATATTAAGAAGGTTTGGCTCATTTTATCAGTTTTATCGAATTTATAAGTAATGAGCAAAAATCCTGGAAAGCAGAAAAGTTCTTGGATTACATTGCATCGTAGATGTCTCGTGTAACCAACTTTTTCAATAGCAAACTGAGTTCCAAGAATTTCAATGTTTCCGCAAAATTTCAAGTCGATAGCTTTACTTTTGTAGGCACGAGAATGTTTACCACAGAAATTAAACAAACGGCAGACGAACATGCTTTTATCGATTCAGAATTTCCTGCTGATCAAAATTATATATGCTTTATGGAGTCTGCTTCATTTTGGCTGTTGCGAACGCTTTGATAGAACGAACATACCACCTTAATTTGATAGTGGATGTAAACACGAAGAATGAAAAAACTCTGACGACTAGCAAAGCAGTAGACATATTGATTGCATATTGGTTTCTTGTCCAACTCTTCTCACGTTCAAAGATTTTCAACGTTAGTCCTTACTTCGTCATTGCGATGATACCCAACGAAAATAATTTTTTTTTATTTGTAGCATAAATAAGTGAATGCGTACTACATATCATAGTTCTTAAAGGAAATCCATGTTGCAATGTTCACCACCTAGGATAGGTATCGCATATTCCTTCTAAACTTACGGCCAAAATGTCAAAATGTCGTATTGATGTCAAGGTACGAGAGAAAACTCAATGTAAGTTGGGACATCTATGAGAAGCACAACAATAGTCTAATGTACTTCAACATATTCGCTTTTCAGCTCCTTGACGAATCAATAGATTTAGCTACACAAACCATTGCCCAAAAATTAAGCAGCCCTCTTCTTATCGACTTAGTACATTTATGCCCATTACATTGTTTAAAAGAAATCACTTTCAATCTTTTCCCCTTTCTTACCTCTTTTCCCTTCTTAATTATTATTTCCTTCCTTTTTTTAGCTTTATTTCGTTTATACGTATGTGTTTTGCTTACATTTTTTTCGTCATCAATAGTTTCAATTTAATTAAAATCAAATACATGTAATGTAAATAAATAAAACAGTAACTCTTAGTTAAATTTACTGAATGGCGTCATGTGAATGCACAGCTCAAGTCTTTCAAAAATTTTAAAGATATTTATAAAACGGCATCATATTAGGTGACCTCTTAGTGTATACATTGGATTCAGTTGCTCTTCCCGTGATCAATTTCTTTACAATCAATCAAAGTTTGCCCATTTATCAGAGGCACCGTCACCCGAAGATACGGCTCACATTCAGATGCTTATAAGAAAAAGAAAATATATATATATATAAACAATAAATAAACTCTAAAGATTAGATGTACATATGGATGAGTCATTGCTTTCTTGCCCAAGCCTTCTTCCATTCAAAAATTTTTTACATCAAAAGTAAACAAAGTACTGCATAAGAAACGAATATCTATATTTTAATTGTGGAGTAAATAAATAGAGACCTGCTACATCCCCCAGTTCTTGGAAAAAATGCATATTTGCACACTCACATATTCTCTCTCTAAATCCAGAACAAAAATACCGAAATGTTGCGATTTAAAGACGCTTGCGAAATCATTAGAGAAATGTTTTCGATAGTTTATCTCTTTAAGAGAGCAACCAAGCAAGGTATATCTTTTTACTCGATCTCTTCTTAAAGAGTCATGACATCCTTAAGACATGCAGTCTCGATAGAAATATGAGAATTGAATGTAAAAAAAATTTTTTGAACGCCCTCTGCATGAAATATCATGTTACTTTTCTTTTCTAACAAAATTGATCTTAGAGGCTTACATGCGATTATTTGCAGATATTTCTTGTACTTACTTTGATCCAATGTGCTTTCCAATTCGTCTAGGTCATCGATAAGATGAAATTCTATATTTGTAGCTTCTTTTAAAATGACTATCATTTCATTGGAAACTTTCATTAAAATTAGATTCACATTCACATTCAATAATTCCTTATGTAATATGCCAATGCCACGGGCAGCCGTAAAATCGAAGTCTATTAAGATTGCAGTCGATTACAAAAGTAAATAACATCGAAGTAAAAACTCACCGTTCACAGTCGAGAAATCCAAGACTACTGGAACCGAACCGTAACTGCTTAAAGCATTTGATATTCTACAGCGCACCCAATCAATTGAAGGAAAACAAAGAGAACTTTGTTTGGGACGTATCACGATGTAAGTAATACCATTTTTAGTCTATGAAATAAATCAAATAACGTAAAAGAGGTACGCGCTTTTTATTAAAACTGTTTGCCTTTAATTCGTTGACAGCTATTACAGGACGAGCCGCACGGTAAATTAAAAACGCTACGTCAGTAGCTACGCCCAATGGTATGCCGACTTCCACACCCAACGCTAAACTAATAACAAATGTCACGGCTCCAGGTAAAAGTTCACGTCTGCTACATCGCCATAAAGGTTTGACTACCTTGATGCAAACACATAAAAGTTATAACAATTTCTTACTATTTACTAGAGTTTCGAAATGTACTCACTTCAAACTCTATCATAAATATTACGGCTGAGACGATGACGGCACTTAATGCAGCTTTCGGTATGAACTGAAAGTATGGAGTCAAAACGGCCACAGCTAATAAAACGAAAGCACTAGTATAAAGACCACCGAAAGGCGTTCGAACGCCGCTGGCATGATTTACGGCACTTCTTGAAAAAGAGCCGGTTACTGGCATCGAGCAAAAGAACGAACCACATATGTTACTTAACGATAATGCGAACATTTCACGTGTGGCGCTTAATCCTGAAGTACCAAATGCTTTTGAAATAGCCACGTTACCCAAGACAGCGATAATGGGTAATATAATCATTGAAGTTCTCAGTTCCCATATCATGTCTCTATAATTTTGATGTACTACGGTACCGTTCGCACTTACGATATTCGTTTCAAATTTCGGTACTTGAAATCCGGGCAAGCCACTTTTCACATTGCCCGTCAAAATAAAAGGACAGCTCGCTTTATTTTTGCAACTGTAATAGGCAATTATGCTTGAAATCAATACAACTAAAGCATTCCGTCCAGTAACCAATATCCATGAAATACTCTTCAAAAGCTTCCTTTTATTCGAGAATTTAAAATCTTTTAATTTCTGCCGAAAATCCAAGCAACAACAAATAAAAAGCTATTAAAGTTGGAGCGACATCTGAATGCCCGCCACTTCGAAAAAATGCAATAATCCCATTACGTTTTTTTTTTCTATCAATTGTGAGCGCATCAGCAAATCGGCAATTATTTCGTGAAAAACTTCACTCAGCATCAAATCGTATACTAATTGGAAAAATATTTTATGTATTCGTTTTTTAAGGCTTTCAGACCGCGTTTCAGTTATCGCGAGCTATTTATGTACGCGCCGCGTCCAATTTCAATTTTATTCGATTAACGAAATTAAAGCAACGATACACAAGCCAAGTTTCAACTTACGACCTCAGCACTTCAATTTTCAAGTATTACATTGACAGTAAATTAAAGATCGTTTCACAAGTTGTAGTGGATGAACTGACGAACATACATAGGTTTACTCAGTTCCTTATTCTTACGTTAATGAACATTGTATACAGGTCATGGTGATTCTTATTAAGTCGCTAAATAAATCGTAACATTAGCATCCTTCAGTAGAAAATGAAATGAGTCTATAAAATTAGAAGAGATATCATTTCACTTTTAACCTCTTCATTTGAACGTCGGAAATGGTGTACAGTTTAACATTAGTCACGTATCAATACATCCTACAGCGGACATCAAAAAATTTGCAAATAAATTTGTTATATAGAAATTGTTCTACTCAATCTACTGATTTGCGCGCAATTAATAAAAAAACTGCGACTTTTCACATGTTCACCGTAGGTGACGGATAGACAAAAATGTATCGCAAACCAATAATGGCTTTGTTACTTGCACAATACTCACCCTTAAAAAGAGTAATATAATTATGGCCACAAATCCTAAAGAGAAATCAGCCATACGCATTTTATCTAAGTTTGAAAATACCGACGTAATAGTATTCAAAAAACCAGATCCAGAATCGCTACGTAAACCGAAAAGTCCCTAAAAAATTGAAAATTATTACAATAAATAATACGCAATCAAGTCAATCAAGCTGCAAAAATGATCAGTAATGCTTTGATTAATTTTCTCGTAGACGAACGCCTCCGCTGAACATATCGATTACGATCGACTACCAATTAAAACTATTCTTTTATAAAATTGCTTACGTATATCCAAATTAGAATACTTAACGTTTGAATTTCTAAGCAACTTCTGTAGTATAAGCATTTACGTATGTATACCTATGTTAGCTCATTGTCCATGTTGGCAATGAAAAAGCAAGACGTGTTTTAATTGTACACTGTATAAACTAGTTTTTCATATTTAATTTCTAGATAATAAAACCGATCCCTGCATCATCATTTTATCACTTATATCTTTCATTGCCGATTTTATTGGAACCGCTCATTTTATCTTTCGGGATATTGCCGCGGGGCTTGCATGCAAACTATTTTATTTAAGTTGCTATCGCGACAAAAGTAGTATTTTAACATACAAATTAAGTGGACCAAATTTCAACCACATTAGTCTATTTCTTGGACCCCACTCTATAGATGATTTTTCGTAAAATGTAAGCCCTTCAGAAAAACGTTTAATTTTTAATATTTTATGATGGAAATTAGGCCGTAGTAACAACAAAGCAAAAAAATTAACGGTAGGGAATTGAGATCAGGTAGATCTATTTTTTAGGCCCCAACAGCTATCATCCTGAAAAGTTGCCCCTCATATAAAGAGAAAATCAAATTTCTAGTTTTTTTTGGCGGAAACTGAAAAACGAAAAAATTTTCGGTAGTAAATTAAGTTTGCAAAATTTGGATCGCATCATATGATGTTTCGCGCCTGCTCCAAAGTTCGGTCTTTTATCAGTTGTATGCCTCTGCACGATAATAATGAGTAATTTTTTTGGTATTATTACCAAAACGAATGAATAATTAATTAATATCAAGCGAAGTGGTGTGGGGTATCCAAAATTCATCCTTGCCCAACTATAACGCTCTTACTTATTTTTCACTAAATTTTTTAATAAAATAACTTGTAACCTAGACGGACGTTCTAAGCGTAAGCGTTAACATCAGCAATTTCTTTAAGCAATTTTTATGGTGAAATCCGAAGCTTCTAATTCAATATATAGTACTTAAAATAACATGCTTCGAAACCATTGCTTAATTCGAATCTGGTAGCCAAGAGTAAACGATAAAAAAATTTCGTTTTGACAATCGGTCTCTACGAACTTCCACATATGGTCATTAAATCAACGATAACTATTTATCACTGGCTATTTATCACTTTAGACAAAATACCAATGTAAAAATGTACACAAACGAGAACTGATTAACTACATATCTACTCCTCATACTTAATCTAGTAGAGCGCACGTTCTTTCCCCTTAAGCAAATACTTCATTCAAAATATCATCATCGCTTACCTTCAACTGGGATGTACCTATTATAACGGCTGTGGCCGAAGTGAAACCTACTGTGACTGGCAAGGATATCAAATCGACTAAAGCGCCTAAACAAAAATATATGAATAATTCGTATATAGGTGGTATGGTGAGCATCAATAAAAATTTACCTAATCTCAAGATTGCCATGAGAAACTCAACTATACCCGATATTAAACATAAGAGTATCGCATAATCAGCACCAGATGTTAAACCAAAGCCCGTATGATGACTAGTTATTAAAGCCAATAGAGCTGTAGGCCCAATAGTGACCTGAGGGCAACTTCCAAAAAAAGCGTAAACTATACCTCCCATAAATGCTGAATACAAGCCGTACTGTATTGAGTACATAAAAATTGATGAAAGAAAAATTTGAATTTCTCCAAAGCACTTACTTGAGGTTCCAAGCCTGCTAGCGTCGCATACGCTAAACCTTGAGGTAGTACAGTAAGCGCCACAGTTACGCCAGCAATTACATCCGCGACCCAATCTTTTAGAGTGTAACGATTTAACCATTCAATGCCCGGCACAGTACGATACGCCAAATCTTTTAACTTCATATTCGAAATTTAACTAAATCATAATGCAAAAATTTTTTTATTCATTTATATGTATGATATTGTTATAATTCATTCATGCATTTATGCATTCATTCCTTATTATTATCATAGTTAATCTATAATTGTATAACAATGGTCATGAATACATGTAGAGGCACGCATTTATAACGATTATTACAACAGAGAAATTAAGTGCCATAATTTTGCCTTAGAAAATTTAAAAGTAATTTGCTAGCATAATATTATATTATTATATATTATATATTATATATTATATAATATATTTTATATTGTTTATTATCCCTGTCGCGGTTTAAGTAATAAGCACGTCAGTGATTCAATCCAGGTAGTTTTCGTAAAAAATTTTATGTTATCTAAATGTGCTTAAAATAAAATTGACTGAATTTAATAATAATAAGCAATATTCATGAAGTTTTACCTTTTCGAATGAATTTTTTCACTTCCGAAAATACCAACAACGATTGAACGAAAAGACGAAAGTAGAATTTTGCGTTGAGTTACTAAATACTTTATAGGAACTCTGATCTCGAGGTGTAAGCAATTAATTAGTACGTTATAAATCTCATAGATTTTTTTCGAATTTTTAAGAAGAACAAATATATCAGTAATTTAGAAAACGTTTTCGAATATTTCGAAGATATTGTTATAAAATATTGATATCCAATAAATAAATAGCGCTTACTTTAAAATCTAATAGAGTATTAACAATCACACTGCTTTAAAATTTGGTATAATCACTTGAATTGTCAAGAGATAACTGAATAATGAAAAATTATCCATTTTAAACACAATGTGGAGCTGAATACGTTAAAATCGTTGAACTTAAATCGTTGAATATTGAACAAATAAAAACTAATTTAGTTACAGTAACGGTCGAAACGTATTGAACTGAAGCCAATTCATCAATTGTTTGTTTTTTTTTTTCGCTTACTTGGGCACTAAAGGGAATTTGTGACGACATCGGTCAGAAATTTTACTTATATACCAACAACTGATCTCTCTGTACTCGACAACGAAACAACATTTTCAAACTTTACCCGTTCCTGCAATGGGACAGAGAGTAGTACTGGAACACGTTATATTGTCATGCCTGCTGTTAATATATAATTCCTCAGAAGGCATCTCAAAGAGAAATCAGCTCCACACATTTCGCCCTGCATTGTACGTTTATATTACCTTACACGCAATTTGGAAATCGTGCAACGTAATCAACTACAGATATAAGCTAAATGAAGGTAAACTTTTAATGGTTTTACATTGCAGCTTGAACGTATAGATATTGAATTCGGCATCAGAAATATGATGAATAGATATATTATTTTCTTGCATTTATATATTTAATCATTTTTTTTTTTAACATTCTATTAGGAAAACTAATAAAAAATACTATTAACAATTAACTTCCATTTAGTTATTCGTTTACATATCGAAGGAAAATTATCAATTACTTTAAAGACATCACACATGTTCGTATAAATATTTTATCATAAGCATAAAAACAGCATATTATTAAGCAAAACCCTTCGATATGTTGCAAAAATTAAATAATATTTTTTAATTAATTATTTTAAGGCCAGCTTTTGTTTTATTAGGTGGCAAACTACAAAACGCACCGGAAATAGCAATAAAATACTGTTTACTTTTTGTTACATGGCTTTTGTACTCTTGCTTTCATTCCCATCCAATAACTTGAACAGCTGTGACATGAAGTGTTTTTATTTAGTTATTGTAGACATCTTCATAGTTTTTCACTTATGCGTTAACTTTGACTTCTCACTTTCTTCTTAAATTTCATCAAATAATTTTAAAAGTTGTAAAATTTACTCGCACAATAGCACCATACGTAGAAAATATGGTTTGTTTACTTTTCATCGAGGGTATTGAAGAATTTTATATTTTTTACCAATTGCTTCAATATATGGCAATGAAAATATGCTGTGAAGGGATATGAAGGTGTTCCAGAATATTCTATCTCACAGTCTTACGACTACTAGAGGTAATGCGCGTTGTACAGTAACTCAAACATAATGTGAAAAATTGCATAAATGTTTGAAATACATGTGTAAGCAAATAAAATTAATAAATATATAAACATAAATTATTCCTTCAACGTAATTTTGTCTTAATAATAAAAAACGTCTCCATGCTTTATGATATGAAAATTTTTATTGAAATTTATTGAAACGTGTGACGACCATAAAATTTTGAAATTTCAATGGGGAATAAACAATGAAAAGAAAACAAATTATGTTTGCTACATGCATACCTAACGGTTGCTTTTTTTCGTACATACAGTTGTATGGTAAACACCATAGCGCTTATTCACTGGAAAGCACAGAACTGAATATGCTTCTGCTTTGCGAGAGTTTTAGAAAATATGACGTCATATCAAGAAAGTACAAACTAAATTTTTACCCATGCAAATTGAAGAGCAAAAAATCAAACGGCTATTAATTGGTAGCATTATTATCGTTATTGATAAGAGAATAACTGAAAGTCCGTAATAGTTTCCTAGTTTAATTTAAAATGTTGGACCATCTTGCCGCAAAAAAATAGTATGCACATATGCTCCCCAGAAAGTTTTTCTTATCTTGACACAAGCTAATAGTGAATGCAAGAAAATTCGATCCATATCACACATAACTTCCCATTTGAATGGCCAAAAAGACTTCTACTACTTTTTATATATTTGACACATGTAATGGCGTACGACTTATAATTTATAATTAGACATAAGAGTAGATAGAAACGGAATCAATTCAATCCCGGTCTCCACTATATTTTACCCTCAACTACACTATCTTCAAAATATTTAAATTATATATATTTACACATGCTTTTATACAATTGTATATAAACGATAATATTTATATTTTATTACTTTAGCAAGCACGATTAAAAAAAGAAGACGTAGAATATGATAGGAATTTCAACGAACACGGATACCCACATTGTCCTAAACGAGACGTGAACACTTTTTGTACTGTCTAGAACGTATATTTTATTCCGCTTTTCTCGACTGCTCCTTAATTTTATTTAACAGTCAAATAGTGACAAAATTCCATTCTGTAACCATTTGTATGTTTTAAATATTTTATGAGTCACGAAAACGCCAAACTTGAGCAAAAGTAGCCCATAAAGTAAAAGATCATGGTGAGAACATCGTATCGTCCATTTTCATTCTGTTCAGTCCCCTGAGACGTTTGTGGTATCAAAATTTGAAATCGATTTTTGTTATAATGATTCAACAAAGGGTAGGCCATAACCAAAAAAGGTAATAATGCGCTGAAATGCTTTGTAAGACGATAACCCAAATAATATTGCCATCACTGCAACACGAACAGATGTTTTCTTCCAATTGTAGCGCCTAGAAATTTGCATTGATAAAACACATATATTTTTGACCAGCGCAGGATGGTTGATCGATCATCCGACCGTATCTGATCGTTGTTTGTTGATGAGGTAGAAACCTGACACTTGCCGCGTATTCTTTATTGACGACGGGCTTAACTGAAAGAAAATCTAATATAAAAACTAATACATAAATAGGGCTGACACAATGAAGCTTTACTTTGTTCCTGCGTTTGGAACAAAATTTCAACATATTGTAAGCAGTGCAAACGAACACACTAATGCTGCATCTCGAAAAATTGTTGAGCTTTTTACGGTTCACATTCGGTAAGGTTAAATTCTTTATCAATTTAATCTTATGAATCAATTTTCATCATGGTATACCTAAAATTACACTTTCTCACCCTATGAATATTCAAGGTTCAAAAATGTATCGGTTCGAAAGATTGTCAATAACGATCGTTCTTGGTACCAAATTTCATTAAAATATCATTATTTTCTGAATCGATCGGTATAATAAAAGGTGTCGTGGATCTTGCGTACGTCGCAAACTAATGTAACTTACTTTATAGGTTTAAAATCTTGTAAAAACGACGTATAACAATAACTGTAAACGTTTAAAAATGTCGTAAATCGCGCTGACTGCAGGGTAATCACGTATCTGCAAGCTAACTTACGACGGCGACGAAGTCGATAGTTGACAAACGTTTTTATTGGACTCAAGTAAGACTTTCGTAGCCCTTTCATTGCTATCATTTATGTGTAAATTAAAAACCAGAAAAAAGAACACAGTTTTTATTTGTATTTATTTGTGGCTAGTTGTTTTCTTTGATAAATTAACAAACAAGCCAACTACTGATGAAGTAGTTACTTGCTTTTAGCTAAACGGATGCATTAACTAGAAGCCATTGAAGTGATTCGCAAATTTGCTGAGAAGGAGATAAGCACTCCTAATGTCAGAATCTGCAGAGAGGATGAGCACATCTCGCTTAGGGGAGTTAGGTAAGGTTATTTTTTTAATCAATGAAGCTAACAATTGTATTACTTCTTAAAATAATAGTTCTATACATTTTCGTGTTCACGTGCGTTTAACTAGACCTCACATTGATTATATCAATTCTCTTCACAAATTATTTACATTGTTTACTGACGCTCTAATGGCCATATTTAAAAATTTGCGAACGAGAACGATGATTTAATCTAATGGACAAAAAGGCGTTTTAATACAAAATTATTGACAATGTTTCTTCCTATGGCTTAACCAATTTTACCACAGAATTAGTTAACTTAAGTCGCTATTGTTTTTATTTGAGCTATTTATGGGAACAATAATCGGCAAGCATACGTACTAAATATATATTAAAACCTAAAAAATTTATTGGTATCATTGCCACTTTCCAATAAAGGTAAATAATATTATCTACTAAATGTCATAAAATTTTATCATTACAGTCATAAAATTTTATGAGTCGCCGCCATGAAACAAAGCGTCACTACGCGGCTGGGAATTACAGGAATGTCCCTAAAATGTAAGTTGTAAAGTACACACAATTTTAATTATAAGTTGTAATAAAATAAAAGGAAAGATTTAATCGAAATTCTACAGTAGCTAACAAAGGAGAGATTTAAATATACCAAGCAAAATCTGATATGTATGAAGGGATTATAAAAACTTTCGTACAACATCATTAATCACGATTTTAAAGGATGTCCGCTATGACATGAAACTATTTGAATAATTCAGATACGTAGTGCTTACCAAGGAGCCAAGAAGTAGTTTGATTCCCATTACTTACCCAGGCCTTATTTCCATTCCGTTTGTCACTTCTGATATTACAAATGACAACGTACATCATGCAACACTCAAATAAAAATCAGCATCGGCGGGCAATTAGAAATTTCCAGACCCCCACAACTCTAAAGCGGTGGTTAAGTCTTTTACTGGCGGTATTAACGTTATCCTCACACCTTAGTCAAAACGCGTGCTGAAACACGAAATTTCTGTAGAAATTTACATACAACAACTAATATACATATCAATACACATACAAGTTGTTTACAAATATAAGAAACAATGTATTTGTATATTTTCAGGTAACGTAAATCGATTGGAAACGTCTCGCAGATCCTTTCTCTATTTTATAAGTTTACCTCACCGTGAATCACGGTTCTTGCGCCAAAGACCATAATACGCGCACTCGAATCATTCGACGCAAAACTTATATATAAAATCCACATTTTTTAATTATTTATTCATTTTATGTAATATATTACATTTAAAATGTTGAGATCAATATGTCCAACACAACTATAAGTTTTTATAACTGTTGATCTTTTACGATTTACGAGTTTGGCAACTGATCGCGCTGTGGTCATACGGTTTTAATTTGGGTAAAGAATTATTGCACTTTTTTCTTTTCTCTTATTGCTTTATAGCTTTTTACGCGTTTGAAGCGTAATTATTTGTAAAAGTACAAAAGGTATAAAAGTGAAAGAATTATATTAATTATATTGAAAGTTTGTCGTGATATTCATTTTGGTTCTTGCGATCAGCACTCGGTGCTCTCGATAATAAGTCTCTTTCGTGTTTTTTATTTTTGCTTTTGGTAATTACAGCTTCTTTCTTGGCTTGCTCTTTGTTTGCCGTTGCTTCAATAGTGTGAAATTTATGTCTCATTTGAAAGAGAATTTTTATGATTTTGTTTTCTCCCTTTTTTTGCCGTTTGCGGTTTGGTTTTGCTTTCGCTCTCTTCTTACAGTGACAACGTAACGGAGAAGTTTGCTTAAATTTATTGATAAAATTTGTGTTGTGGATCTTTTTGCAATTTGTTCTTTATTTTCTTCACAATCCACTTTTGTCGTGTTTGACTGGACATGGATTGTTTATATACACCATGTCGTGTAAAAACAGTCCCAGAGTCTGAACGATTCATTTCGTGTTGGGTTTGTGATCGTTTTTGCCATGCAAAGTGTGCCGGTGTTATCAACCGTGCTGCCGACGCAGTCGCTGATCCCTCGAAAGGCTTACGTTGGTCATGTCCTGACTGTAGGAAGCGGGGCAATGATTTTTACAAACTCTTCACGGAGACGAGAAATGATTTCTCGGAATTCAGTAAAAATCTTGGCTCCTTGTGGGAGAAGTTTGAGGTAATTAAGTCCAAGTTTAATGAATGTTGTTTTATTGAGTAGTCATCTTCTTCCCAAGTTAGCAAAATTACAACTCGCAGCGTAGCGTGTGGTACGTCATCTCTGATTCCTTCTAAATCTAATTCGTTGTTACAAGTTAGCGCTCTGCCTCTGGCTTCCCTTTGTATTTAGTAAAAGGGAGAAGCGCTTATCCGCACAGTAGATCATTCAGGGTTTGTTTAACTTCATCACCTCGGATGAATTCCCCGTGACCTCTGGCGTACCTCAAGGCGGCCACTTAGGCCCAATTTTATTTAGTTTATACATTAATGATCTCCCATCGGTGATTAATTCCAGTCAGATCTTAATGTACGCTGATGATGTGAAGCTGTTTTCTTCCTTCTCTGTAGAATCGCAATCACATTAGCTTCAAAGTGACTTGAATAATTTGGTTGCATGGTGCTCTTTGAATCTTCTGAAGCTAAATGTAAATAAATATAAAAAGCAAGAAGAAAGTCAATCATTACTCAGTATTCCATTGATTCGCATAAGTTGGACGATGTCGATACGTTCACAGATTTAGGCGTTCCATTTGACCATAGATTGTTTTAACTTGCATATTGAGCTCTCGTTAAGCAAAGCTAGGTTCGCGCTTGGTTTTATAAACAGGTGGTCTAAAGAGCTTGATGATTGTTACATTACGAAAAGGCTGTACATGTGTTCGGTTAGACCTATATTCAAGTATGCCTCTATTGTGTGGTCTCCTTTATATAGGCGCTATGTAGATTCAATTGAATCTGTTCAAAAGCAAATCTTGCTGTTTGCCTCTAGGAATTTGGGTTGGGATCCGATTGCCTCTCTTCCCCCCTATGAAAATAGGTTGCTTCTGTTGTCCTTACCATCTCTCGAGAAACGTAGATTTGTTCTCGGCGTTTCCTTTGTAATCAAAGTAATAAATGGTGCTATTGACTCGCCTGCATTACTTGGTGAAATAAGCTTTAAAGTCCCTAACCGCTTTTCTAGGGACTTTAGCTTGGTTACGCTTAGTCAATGTAAATATAATTATGAGCTGTTTAACCCGCTCAGAGTTGTTTGCAAGAATCTAAATGACGTCTGTCAATTATTTTCATTATCAGACTCGAATACGCGTGATTTACCTATGTTTTACTTAAACTAGCTCTTAACCTTAAAAAGTCATTACGATTCCAAAAATTAATTGTTGTTAACTATTATCCGTTGCCAAGCTTATGCATGTTTGCGATGGCTTAGGGGTTCATATGCAATTTCGTCCAGCACCGGTTGTGGGTGTGGCTTCATGCTAGTTGTGTACATGCTTTTTTTCTTTTTTTTTCTTCTTATTTGTTTTATTATACTTAGACTAAGTTTTAATATTAAATATTATAGGATATACTTTAAGAGTCAATTGAACTCGACTGTCAATTTGCTTTCGTTGAGTTTTATGTATAAGTAGAGTAAATAAAGTATAAGTATAAGTAGAGTAAATAAATAAATAACTAAATAAATGAAGAAATAAATAAATTACTCATAATAAATGGCGGCGCCAGTATGTGACGATGTATGGAAGATTTGACGATACGGAATTCATTATAAGCTTTTACTGACTAAGAGCATTAATAACACAATTGGAATAAAAAAACAAAAATTATTTTCCTACCTTTAACAAGTTTAAAATTTTTCGTTTTGGTTCAGCTGTTTGGAAGTAGAACAATTTTGTTTGGAATTTATTTAATTTTCAATTTACAGCTGTTTTCTATTTTAAATGCAGCAAACAACCAATACTAATGCAAAACTTGAGCTATGTAGTTTTCGCGTAACTTTGCCAGGTTGCAAGAGTGTATTAACAGCCATGTACATACGTGATCTAAACAAAAAATCATGTCATCAAACATTCCTGAATGCCGTCAAATACTTAAAACCAAATCAGCCGAAATACGCAAATGTAGTCTAGCTTTCAAATATGTGATTACCCCCTGGTTCATTTCGTTTCATGTGAATTGAAATAAGAACGTTATTAGTGACTACCCTATCTTGACATTCGTTCCAATTTCATTTTGTGGACATGGATTTTATTTGTGTATGTGAAAAAGTAACGTGTTGTGGCTGATTTTCGTTTTTTTTTTCATTAAATTTGTTAACAAAAAAATTATTAAAATAAAACATATATAACTACGATTTTTCAATCACATTATCCGTGTTTATTGTGTGTTTAAATTGATACGTCATATGTAGGAAAAATACAATAGTAATTACAGGCAGAAAAATTTTATGTGCGAGCATCATCAAACAACAAAAAACGTCACAATTTTTTTGTGTGAATAGTAACTCGGTGTGTAGTCGTGGTGTTTGTATAAACTGAACACAAACCAACTGGGAAAAGATCTAAATTGCTCCGTAAATAAAAATCCGGGGGAATTTGCAGTAACCACCGAATACGCAAAATATGAAATGGGTAAGTTAACTATTGCATGAAAATGAATCTCCGCTCTTTATTATATGCATATGTATATTTTGTCTGCCCTCAGACAATGAAATATGTGTTATAGCAGTTTTGTAAAGACTTCACATGTAGTACAATATTTAATTCAAGCCTAATCCCGCCTTTGAGTAATTCTTTCAGTGGAAAATCTTAAGAAAAAATGCTACAAAAATTATATAGACAATAGAAACATAAAAGTGTTTTTTCACGTTGACCGCAATCCAATTGTTTAAACAAACGTGAATATGCATATTAAGATCTTACTTTGTGCTGCTATTGCTCCGTTCTCTTTTTTTTGGAAAGATTAAGTTATACTAGAGTTTGAAGTCGATTTATAACATGCAAAAATACACATTAGTGACCCTATTGATCAGCGTAAGAGCCAATTCAATATAAATCTATCCATCTGTCGATTGCCAATTTTGATAACTACAAAGTTGGTGAAAAATTAAAACATGAAGCTTGAAAAAAGTATCCAAACTACCTACAAAAACGTAATTTTGTTTACGACGTGTAAGAAATATGAGACTAAAACATAGCATCAGTATTCCCTAGATCCTTTCACATTAAATTCGCTTAATTAACATGAAATATTTTGCAGAGTTTATGTATTGAGAGAATGTGAATACAGTTAAAAGACTCGCCATAGCGCACTATTATTTCTCCTAGCTTTTGATATTTTGCCGCTAGACGACCGGCTAATTGTGAAATCATCTCAATACTTGCAATTTATCGTACTATGAACGAGTGAAATGCAGGAATACAATAAAGCTATCATTCAAATACATTGCAAAGTTCCTATAAGATTTAGTTTAATTTCATCTATGCCAGTTTCCGCTCGCTCCCACATTCCTTGCGGCTACAAATTTCGATTGCAAAAGATGAAATAGATAACGAATAGTTGGCAGCGGTTTTAAGGTTAAAAAAAAGTTGACTGAAGGCTATCAAGCCGTTATTTCGTCAACCATCAACCGATCAATTGTGATAATCTATATTCAAATTAAAATTGAGTCTAAACGTTATATTATATTAACGTACTATATTTTTAACGATTTGGGTTATGCAAAGACGAGGACGTTTATGCCTAAGGATCGTCATTTTAATTTAAACACAAGCATCACTCTTTCTTTTCAAAGTGTTGCAGCAATTAAGTGATTCCAACATCCAAAGTTTTGATGAAAATAATAGGAACTGAAATGACATATGCTAAACAGCCATTATATCTTGGAAGATAAAATTGATACACTTACCTCTTTTATTCAATTTGCATATATATATATATATATATATATATATATATACATATACATATATATACGTATATATATCAATATGGAACATTATAAAGCGAATTTTTCAACATAAACAAGTCCATTTCTACCACACCATGAAGAGGACACCAAGAGTATCCACAAGTAATACTACTAAGTATATAAAATTGTTTGATTCTCGATTCCCGCTACATAACTTAATTAATTTTTTGTATTATATGCAGTTTTGTACCTTAATAAATTTTATAGACGAATTTCTTCTTCCAAAATGCTTTTTTTAATGGAATAATTGTTTACATATTTACGAAAGCAAAAGATTTTTAAGAGCTGAAGGCGTGAAGTGGAATTCAATGATAATTATACGCTGGTTTTTCAAATCATATGATTTTGATTTAGTAATACAACGCGAGCTGTATATTTTATTTAGTTTTTGCATTGTATTACTACGATAATGCAAAATGCAAATGCAGTCATTATGCTTCCATTATTCAGGCATTACACTCTCATCATCGTTGTTAATCGTCAATCATTGTTTTTTGTTTTTTATGCAATTCTGACATTATGTATACAATTATATATATATATATATATATATAATAAATAATAAAAATACATTAACTATCTAAACCGAAGACCAAGACAAGTAGTTACATTTCCGTTGCCGGACAATCCATAATGTATTTTAAATAAAACAAAAATAAAGATCACTTTTTTCGGAGAGATATTGAATGAGCAAGAACTTCGATATAGCGTTCAAGAATTTTTTATTTTATTTGATTTTTAGATAATAGTCGCAATTTTATATATATTCTTCAATAGTCTTACTCTAAGATGGATTATATAATAATATACAGAACATGGTATCACACATCTCTTTGTGGCACCCAACGTCCACTAAATTGTAATCTAATTTTGTAGTTGGTTTTTTTAAGGACCACAAACAGCCGCTTGGGTTCATTTATTATTATAATCCTTTTAGATAAAAATTGCCTGAATGAAATGAAAAACGAATCATTATGCATATGTTAGCCAATTACGTGAGAGGTCTTGATTTGAACAAGAATCGTAATAAGCAGAGAACTGCATTGAAATACTGCCGTTACCGTTACTTGGAAATTATAACAAGTACCCATGTGAAACGAAACAAAAAAACAAAAGAAAAATGTAGGACGAACAGTGTTCTCCTCAGCGAACACATCGACTAACGAAATATTCATATTTACATAAGGACGATGAAGTTAGGATTTTACTGCTAAAAAATGGAATAAAATAAAAAGTTCAAAATAATCGATTCTTTGTTGGGAATAAGGACCATAACAACATTTAATTCAGAGGGTGTAGGATTAAAACGATTCCCCTAAAAAATGCGAACATAAGGTCAATTGTTTTTTGATCGTTTTAAGTATCACGGAAACCGTTTAGGAACTGACAAATTCGTGCAATAAATCAATTTTGAAATAATCCGAAAAATCAAATCGAATACTTCGATAGTAAAGAATATATATATATATATATATATATATGTATATATGTATATATATACATTTCAAAGTATATATATATATTTCAAAGTAAGTCTTTGAAAAAATTCTGATTTCAATCGTAATAAAGTCCCTGTTGATATGTTTGGATAAATCAAATGCATTCACTTATGGTGCATTGAAAATTTGTGCACCTAGCTATCATTGTTTATTGCGAACGCAAGACAAGGCGATATTTGGAAAACGCCGCACTTACAATAAAAACACTCTAGCGTGGTATGGACCAACAATAAATAATAACTTACATCACTTCACTTAACACAGTTGCATATATAACGATTTTCTGTTATAAGGCCTTATATTCGAAATGATCGAGAAAATAGACCGATCAGAACCATTCTTAATAGCGCCCGTCCTTACGAACTATAAATTGAACACAAGAAAATAAGACGAACAGGCAAGCTTAGATCGATTCAAAGTCACATTCTGAATATGAACTCGTATAACAAACAATGCGTCTATCTCAAGTCGTTCTGGTTGCTGCATACATCCGCACAAAATTAAATTTCCTTAAAAATTTTCCTTTCATGACAACAAATATTCATGTATTGCATACTGCTTTCGGCGATTGATTATAAAAGACCTATTTACTATAAATAGTATGTCTCCTTAGAATTAAAATCTCTCTTAGAATTAAAAGGTTTTTTTGCTTCTTATCGGCTGGCAGATGCCCCCGCGGTAGAAAGTTTATGATTTCGACTTGAAACAGTCGGCGAACCAATATCGTACATATTCAATTTTGCAGAATCACTGATCTACTAAATGTGACTGCGTCGTTGATCTAAGTGAGTGGTAATCGAAAGAGGGCAGGTCTGGAGAATACACCGCAATCGGGAAATGTTCCCAACCGAAGTTGAAGATCTCCTCCTAGATTCTCACTTTCTACCACCTTCCCACTCTGCAATAACTTACGGTATTTTTACTTCAAGTTAATAATTCCCGCAACTTAACGATTCAGCTGTATTTTGTCCAGTTTAATTCAGTTAGGAATAGGACGCCCGTCTCCTGACACCTTGATCCACACTGAACAATACTAAACAATTTGTAAGCAACTAAAACTTATGCCGTCTGAGTAGATAGGTATCTAAAGTATTTAAAGTTGAAGTTTTGGAAAGGGCGGGGCGGACGTCGCGGACATTTTCAGAAGCAACCAATTTCAATATACAGAATTTATTTATATTTTTTGCTTATTTCACTTCCGCGAATATATATCGTATTTAATATACAAATTATAATATATCCTTTTTCATATCCATCTAGGCATATATTCTTTGCCCGTAAGGTTGGCTAGCCATAGGCTGACCTATCCATTCTTCGAATACTGAAATTTAGGTAAGCTATGTTAGAAAGACGAAACGCTCTCGCTATTGGCAAGAAATTGAAATAGTTTTGAATAAATTTTTTATTATTTTTGCGAATATCTTATGCACTTCGTCGATTCGAAATGTTTGCGAAGTGTTTTCTCCATTTGTCAATTCCTTTGCACCATTTAGATATGTGAATCGGAGTTTTTTGGTCCATTGATTTATTTTACATTATTGATGATTTCTCTACATGGGTAATAGCGTTCGCATCGGAAATATGTCTATCATGTTACATTATACGGTGTAACTTTTCAAGGGCACAACACTTGGACCGTCTCTTCTTATATGTAACGCGAGGCTCCACATTGTCCATTTGTTTGGATTTTTTTTTTTTTTCGTCTATATGTATAGCGAGCCTTCTATTGGCCAATTGATTTGGTCCCTAGGTTATCTACTTGTTTGCCCGTCTGCCCATCTATACATCTCTACGCTTACTTAATTCTCGCCATGATCGCCTGAGTACGTCCTTGCGTCCTTTTTTTCAACCGTCAATCCGTTCTTCAGACAATCTCCTCGCGAATAATTTGATAAAAGTTTATGCTGAATTAATATGCAGGCCTGCGATTGACTAAAACTTCGAAAATCACTTAAAAGTAATCGGCAAGCAAAAATCTACTACGCTTAGATATTGATTTCAACTTGTAAACGTATATAATGACGCACAATCGTTTAACACCTACAACTACGAAAAAAGTTTAATATATACGTCTGAGTTGGTATTTATTTAAAATACAGGAATACCGCTACTTTTGATAACTACGTATAATTGATCTGAATGTCTACCGCGTTCATAATAGATTTTTTTTTTTTTACGTGTACGATACATTCGTGTATTTTCATGTCGACAGTGAGTTAATTTTTTCTTGAAATTCCTAAAAACATAATCGGATGCGTGTCCATCGTGTCATCCGGATTGTAAACAGTCCCCAGTTTCCATATGAATTCGTGAAAGATTTGCAAACCTAATACAGTATGATACCTTTAATGATAACTAGTTTCGGCCCAAAAGATGACTTACTTGCTGCACTTATACACTACACCTATAATAAAATAGAGTTCATAACAAAATGTTTCGAGGAAAAGGATCGCCCGCAATAGCGAAAGCAAAGTAAGGATGCTCTTAAGATTTACTTTGTAATTAAAATAAAAGGGAGGAAACAATTTCGGAATCCTGGTAATCAAACCAGTTTTGTCTTTTAACTTTTTTAATTAAATAATTTATGCATAAACTAGGATAGAATCTAGCAAAGGATCTAAAGAATATTGATGAATAATCTTAGTCTAGTCTATAGTTTACATACCCTGAATGAAACCCAAAACCTTATAAGCATGTATCACTTACAAATACACTTACAAACTGTTGTAAAATTTAAGACGATTCTCGAGCCGCTCTATTCAGTAATAAGTGAAAATTGTTGCACAGTCGTCAGTCCAAGCAATATTAAGAAACAAAATCTTTGTATCCCAATTTGGCTTTCGTTTAGCTCGATACACTCTGCCCGGCGGTATTCAACAGCTATGGCGTCCCTTTCATAGTGAGAACCGTTGAACTCCCTCAAATTAGCTATTAATTTCGGACACTTCCTCTCATCATCAATATGCAATACACAGCACTTTATATCGACTCATTTGGTTCATCGTTGCATTGGTGCATGTCCGGCGTGGTCGGTCATGGTCGATCCTCGCTGGTCATGCCGCATCGTTTAAGCTGTACCAATAAATATTTTACTGTTATAAAACAAAAAGTCCGACCGTCCTTATGCTGCAAATTCTTTTCCACTTCCTTCCTGTTATATGTTAGAGTTATGTTAAGTAGAAGCGAAAACTTAAAAGAAATTCATTTCATTTCACAATTATCGCATGTTTCCAAGTGAACCGTAAAATGAGTGCATGTAGAGAAGCACTTCTCTCCGCCTCATTTCATCAACAAATTTTCGTTAATTTCGTCATTCCAAAGTATATATCTACGCTTCCCTTCGCCTACTGGTTTGCATTAATTTTCAAAATGGGCTAAAGTAAAGTCCTTTTTCTTCTCTAAATTAACTTTTCTAAGCAAGGGAACTTTCGGAACTATTCCTTCGGATAGTTTGGCACATTTCGCGGAAAACAACTTGAAGGGATTTTACTTTGCTAAAATTGTAAAATGAAAAGTCTTTTTAACTACTCCGCGTTTCTCAACAATTTTTAGGGGGCTTAAAGCATTTGTGATAAAGTTATATAACCGACTTAGTGATATCACAATAAATATATAAGTTTTTTTCTAATTTCGAAGCTAATGACCTAGCCAAAGTCCTTCTTCGCTGTAGTTGTGTACTCGACCTATCTAATATTATTATATACATTAAACATTTATATCGCATTGCCTTCTCAAGAAATACAATTTACCCTTACAGTCCACCTTTGCGGTAACATTTTGCAATACACTTTACTTACCACAGCTTTAAAGAGGACGCAACCTAGTTCACTATCGAACTAAAGCCCTCGACTTTTTATTGCAGGAACTAGTTCACGTGGCATTCCAGGAACGAGTCCTGACCAGTTTTACCGCATACAAAAACGTTGTGCGAACTTTTAGGAATCTATTTTTTACAATTCGTACAATTGCGTAGAATTGAAAAGTTGACCTCGCACATATTTTGCTGTCACGGTGAACTGCTTGCATGCGTCACATATATCCAATTGCAAAGTTTGTCTAGACCCTTTCATCACAGTGTCCGATTCAAATGCATTGACCATGCCACACACCTATTGTAAGAAGTAACGACGACTACAAGCGACTAATTCCAAAACGTATAAAACGGTTAAAATTCAAAAATGGTGGTTTCGAATTAAAAACGAACTATATATATATATATATATATATATATATATATAAGAATGTAAACATAAGAAAAGCATTTTAGATTTTTCACACTAATCATGGAGTGTTGCAATTAATGAAAATTGTTGTTATTGTTTCTGCGATAGTAAGTAAATGCAAAATTCAATTGTGTCAATTGTAGTAACATATAAATATAGTAGCGAGACATAGTAGATCGAAATCGAAATTGAATCAAATTGAAACGTGAGGGTCGTGCGGATGCCGTTACGGATAAACGGATGAAATATTATGGTTATTAAAAATGCCAGAAACGCTCAGTATGTTCAATATGCTCTTTGCACGCACTATTACACATTCAAACACTTCAATCTAATAACATTGTCATAGATATGTATTTTATATAATACACACGCTACATACACTTATATGGTTCGCAATTTCTTAATTGCAAGACAGGAACACTTCTTGTGCAAAATGTTGTTAATAATTGCTCTCCCTCACTTGGTTGTTACTATTATTATTATTATTATTGTTATTACTTGCAGGCATTTATTGCGCCGTGTTGCAACAGTTTACAAAGATTTCAAGCAATCAAGAATATACAAGTTTTCCACAAATATTGCAGAAAACAATTTCATTTAACTAATTTTTAAAAATTAATTTTCAAAAAAAAAAAGAAAAATAAAGAAGAAAGCCGCAGTTTTATATTTTTCTTTTCATTTTTGAACGCGAAAATTTATCCCATAAGTAAATTTTAAAAAATCGTGGCTGAAGCAGTAACAGGAAAGCCTACAATAACTGATGTAAGTAAGCAAAAGCAACAATTCATAACAACAACAACAACAACAACAAATAAAAATATAGTTATGATCACCCAAATAATATCCCGATTTAATTTTTTAATTTATATATTGTTTCTTATAACATACATATATATATAAATATATACATATATAGAAATATATATATACATATATATATATATATATATACGTATATATAAAATATTTGCATAATATGATTGTCCCACCTCCCACCTCTTATTAATATTTAACATTCATAATTGATTTCTTCTTTTCCTTAATTTTTATTTCACTTCATTTCATTTTGTCCATCTCATGGATAACGGTCTTAAATATATTTTCTTATTTTATTTGGTGTAATTGCATTAAAATTTTTTTTTTTTGTTTGTTTTTTTTTTTTTTTTTTTTTTTTTTTTTTTTTTTTTTTTTTTTTTTGTTTTTAGTTTATATAAAATTTGTGTGTTTAATTGTAATAGCATTTTTATTCATTTCTATTTTTTAATATTTAGGCAATGCCTTCTGCTATAAGTGGTGCTGGTGGTCATAGCTCGGGCAGCCACAACTCGAATATACCTAACAATGAAGAGTGTGGTATACGGGATGTCTGGAAACATAATCTTGAAGAGGAATTTCGTACTATTCGTAAAATAGTGCAAAAATATCATTACGTCGCTATGGATACGGAGTTTCCAGGCGTTGTAGCACGGCCCGTAGGAGAATTCCGTTCCACCGCCGACTATCATTATCAATTGCTGCGATGTAATGTCGATTTGTTGCGCATCATACAACTGGGCCTAACTTTTATGGATGACGAGGGGAAAACACCGCCCGGTTACAGTACATGGCAATTCAATTTCAAATTTAATTTAAGGTAAATTGCCCTTATTTCACTTTTTATGATGTCCGATGAAGAGCTCAAACTTTTGTATTGTTTTTTGTTTCGCCTTGAACGCAGTGAAGACATGTACGCCCAGGATTCCATTGATTTACTACAAAACTCTGGTATACAATTCAAAAAGCACGAAGAAGATGGCATTGATCCGTTGGACTTTGCTGAATTGTTAATGTCATCGGGCATTGTATTGGTGGACAACATTAAATGGTTATGCTTCCATTCTGGCTACGATTTTGGTTATTTGCTTAAACTGTTAACTGATCAAAATTTGCCGGCAGATGAGAGTGAATTTTTCGACTTGCTACACATTTATTTCCCCAACATATATGACATCAAGTATTTAATGAAATCATGTAAAAACTTAAAAGGTGGTCTACAAGAGGTAGCCGATCAGTTGGAATTAAGACGTGTGGGACCTCAACATCAAGCCGGCTCTGACGCATTACTCACTGGCATGGCATTCTTCAGAATGCGTGAGGTACACAATGATAATAAGAATTTTAATATAGAACCGACCTCGACATTTCTCGATTATGCCATTGAATTTAACAACAATAACATCATTTAAACATTTCATTTACTCATTCATCACGTGTCAGTCATTGCAACATTTTCTAGTGCCACAACTAGTTAGTTTTGCGGAGTTCAGTCTTTCGGTTCTTCTTTCTTTCTTTCCTTTTTTTTTTTTTCCATAATTATTATTTTGAAAAAATTTTCGTGAAGAGTTTTGTCAAACTTGATTCTTTTATCTTTTAGAAAATTTTTCGCTGTTTTTCCTTTATTTATTTCTTCTTCTTCTTCTTTTTATTTTGTTGTCATTTATAACAATCTTCTCGGTTAAATGAACTCACGTTAATCGCATTTCATCAAGTCGTTAAATCATCATTACCTAGATAGTATTAATTAGTTGATTACTTATTATCGAATCCAATTTTAACTAACTAGCTAGCAACTGTGAGTTTCAATTTCAATGATCTCGTCTTCTTAATTTGAAATGCTCCTCTAATTGTTTAAACGAATATTCTAAATTTTAATGTTGAATTTTTTAGGTTATAAGGCTTTTTCGATATGCATAAAAAAATCTCTAATGAATTGTTAATGAAGTTTATCATTACTTTTTGAAAATTGAAGTTTCTTTTTTGTTATAAAAATTACTTTATATATATATATATATAAAAAAAAAAAAATATATATAAACGGATTTATTTAAAAATTACAATTAAACCAATAATACTTTTTGTTAATGTTTTGTTTTTATTCTTCCAAAGTCGTTTTTTTAGTTTTTCAATAAACTTGTTCATTAAAGTCAATGAAACTTCATTAACAAATTCTGTTTTTTTTTACTCAAACTCGTCTTTCCCTTTTTCCTTTTTCTTTTTTCGTTTTTAGTAAAACACAAGTCATGACTTTAGTCGCACTGAAAGAAACGCCCTTTCATTCCATAGACATGGTAACGAAACAATAATCATTGGCTTAATGAACAAGTTTATCGTGAATGAAATAACATTTAGTTGCGTTCACTCAAAGTGACATCAATTAAATGAAATTTCATTTATCATCATTTTTTGGTTAGCTTTGCACCTTTTAATGCCAAAATCTTAATACTTAATGTCCTTCAGATATTTGAAGGGACCAGTATAGTGCACATCTCTCAACCAAACGATTCCTTTGACATGTGTTTGACAAACAAAACTTGTTTAGCAAAAAAAAAAAGAAGCAAGCTTTCTTCTTATAAACTATAAAAATATACATATATATGTGTATAAATCGACTTTATCGCCTTTTTACCAAAATCATTCTTTTTAAAAAAAGTTTTATGAAAAAATTCGACTTTTTGCACTTTTTATTTACAAAATTTCACATATATATAAAAGACATTCTTCATAAGACATATATACTCCGGAAGGTTGGGAATTTAATCTAAACGTCCTCAAGTACAAAAGAGCATTTTTGTGTCTTTATGCTTAGAATCGGTGTTCGGTGCTCTGTTTAAATTCGCGCTTAGTGATCAATTCGCACGCTACGCAAAAAATGAATGTATATCTCGGGGCCCCTTGAAGCAACCAATCAAATTAAAAGCATTTACGTTATTAATCAATTGAAGGCTCAAGAGCCGGATAATAGGTAATCGTCAAAATCATCAAAAATGAAAATACATAAAATCGATAGCTTTCAAATATATATATATATTATATTATAAATGCCATTGATGCGTACGATAAGCAAAAAAATGAATGTCTGTCCGCAGGCACAACGGCACAGGGTTAACGAGACGATGTCCAAATTTTTTACATCCTAAAAACATCCTATTGGATATTGGAAGTTTCAATGAGAAGGTATGAGTTATTTATTGCTCGTCTATGCCAATAGATACGACGATATATTTAATTTTATTCCTATGAAAATGAAAAGCGATTTTTTCTCTACAGACTTGTGTTGTCTCTGCATTAGTTATAGACCGATATTTTTCGAGAAAATAATTTACTTTAGATTATATTGAAGATCCATCCACTTCGAATCTTTAGATTCACAATATGTGGCGTGTGTAAACATGCAAAAACAGACATTTACATGAAAGTCAAAGTCTCCCCTATATACTCGTCTCCCGATATCAATTCTAGTACATATTACGTATTGAAAATTTAAACGATACGAATCGAAATATTTCGAAATATTCAAGAATACATATATTTTTGATAGTTTCTATCTGGCGGCAAAAAAGGATTAAAAAGTATTTCTTTAGATTTCGCTTTTACTCGCATTTAATGGATCAATCCGATCTATCAAGAAATCAAACACTCACCACATTCGGCAATTTTGAAGTAAAATTTCAATTATTTAAAGGGCTCTGAGCGATTGCGGACAAGATGAGTTTACCTACCTCACTTAAAAACATAGAGAAAGAAAGACTTACTCAATCTATAAAGCACTCACCAATAGATAGTAAAAAATGCAAAAATGCATTTATGTCATCACAATTTTCCAAAATTAATTATTGAAATTAATTTAATTAGCGATCTGTGAAAACTTCACAAACGAGCACTTGAATATTAATAAATAAATAAGACAGTTCCATCCGTCATAGGGCGATTGGGGCTGGGCAGATCAATTAGTTGATCATAGAAAATATTTTCAGTTAGCCAATACGTTTATGTAGGTGGGTGAATTAACGTTTTTTTTTTTTCTTATTGGTAAACGGCACCCATTGTGAGATTGAGATTGTAAATGGGCTGCATAAGTATTGCTTTTTTTCAATTTATAGACTTATGTGTCTACAATCGATTGTAAACTAAACAATTTTGTTTATCACGGCCATGGTTGTAGACAGACATTCATACGCTATATGCCTATCAATTACGGATGTTTCTGCCCTGTGCTCGGTGTGCATTCGCAGTTCTATCGCAATTTTTCCAACCGTCGACGTTCGAATAATAGATGAAAAACAGACCAACATATCTAAATCAACTCAGCATCTTAGGCGGATTAAGATCTTTTGGTATATATGATGAACAGGTTTTCTCCAGGTGTTACAAATCAAAAAATCGCTTGTTGCGATAACAAAAAAATTGAAAGACTTGTCAAGAATTTTTGCTCTATCTCTTCCTTCCCCGCGTAAATATGTACGGAAAAACCGCTTATTATATAGTGTTTTGTTAAGAGCGATTGTATTAGTGACTCGGTTGGAAGCAGTTTTGCGCAGATCAGTTTACAAAAATTGAATTGGTAAACTTGAACACAAACTATATATATATAAGAGTCAAGTTTTAGTCATATATTTGAATTTTTTCTCCTTCGAGCTTTTCCCAATTGTACATTTGACAATTAAGAGAAAATCTTAAACTGATACAAGACTATATTTCGTATAAAATGTTCAATTACGTATATCCAAGCGTACTGCGAATAGAATAAGACGCTGCGTGAAAATTGGATGAATTTTAACGTATTTCATTGTGAGTCTCGGTTTCATTTGCGTTTCAGTTATACTCGTCAGGCAGAGTAAACGCTTCTCAAATCCATATTTATTGGTGTTTGGGTAATTTTTGTTTTTGCATTTTTTAGATGTTCTTTGAGGATAATATCGATAATGCCAAATATTGCGGACACCTGTACGGCCTGGGAACATCATTCATTGTGAACGGTGCCACTTTCCATGAGAGCAATGGCGAAAATAGCAACACCACGTGATTTGTAATTGATGAACGTACTCAAAATCTGCAGAATGCTACCTAAAGTTTTATAATGTCAAAATGGAAAAAAAACGAAACATTACAACACGGTAACTGGACAACAACAACTGCAACTTTACCATAACTAAGTTGTTGCTCATGATGAGGAAGACACAAAGGAAATCAATCAATCTATATATATATACATATATCTATCGAACAGGAAAAAATGCACGTTTTAATGTTTTAACTTTTTAAACACATAGCAACAACTCATACATATATATGCAAAACTTGAAAAAAAAAATTATAAAAAAATAAAACAAAAATTAAAAAAATCGCAAAACTAATTCTTTGAAATATACATACAGACGTTTGGTTTGGCATTGAAAGAACCTACAATTCACAAATTAATTAAGAAGTATCTATCATAGAAACAATGAAGGAAAACATATTAAAAATCCGATTATTAGAAAACATTCCCGAAAAATGTGAAAACTAATATAGAAAGCAAAGCATTTATGTTATGTTTTCCCTTAAATCTTAAACTACATCCGGCGAATTTATTGCACAGTTGTTTACTTTTATAGCCTACCACGCTTGTAGTACAGGGTAAATTAAGCTTGCGCAGATTTATATACCCGCTTCAAAAGCATTTTCTCAATCGGGTTTAAACGCGCCTGCTGATCGCCTGTCCATATAATGCTGTGTTCGGCCTACCGGTCGAACTTTTTGATGTGCTCTAACCGAAGGAGAAACGCTATTTGATTTGATTTAATTGAGTCCGGCCATTTTTTTATCACCCTCTCGTCATATGAAAAAAGTCTCGCCACACTAATATGATGTGGAAAGTTTGAATCAAATGGACCAGTTTTTTTTGCAATTTCCTCCCATCATATAGCCACTCGTACGAAACATAAGTCTTTCTATGGAAAAATTGGCTAATTGTTCATATTTAATGATGAAAATTTGCTCATAACGATTTCATAAAAAATTGACTGTATCAAGCTGGGACACCGTTCCATACAAGAATTCTCAACCGAAGCAAGACTTTATAAAGTTTAAAAATCTTAACTTTTAGTGGTTTATAACGGAAATATATTAGGCAACAAAATTAAATTTTATGATTTTGTGCATTTATACATTTCTTTCACGCTACCAGGTAAAGGTCCCCATGAAAAGTATGCCTTTGCATGAAAAGAAGATAAATGTTGAACTGCATCCGTTGATTTAGTGTAAGGTATTAAATACCTCGGTCGGCCTTACCCATCTATAAGGTTTTGCTTGTTTTATGTTGTCTTTCATTTAGAAGATGAATCTTGCTATGATTGAAAGGAAATCACATACACCAAAGTCAATCGGTTGAGAACTGCGAGGTATTAATGGGACGACGAACACAATTAATATCTTAGGTAGTTTTAAGTACTTTCAAATAATGATTTAGCTCGAAAAACTCCCTTTTGCGATCCACATGGAGAATTCGACCGTTATAAAAACCTTCTTACATAATTCTTCAATATTTAAATGATGAAAAAAGGCTGTAAAAAAGGAAAGACTCACAAAGCAGCAAAATATATACGTGATGATATTAAAGAGAATACGTGAGGCCTTGAAATGCAAAAGATGACGAAGTTAATTTTGGTTCCAAATATTCACGCGAATCAATTTGGTAAATATAACTTTGAAAAAATTGGAAAACTTTTTCTTATTTGATGATATCAAATGAAAAATGGTTTAATAGCTAATTATAATATCAATTGTTTTTCTTTATTAAGAATCTTAGGATCATGTTATCAACACCATTCACCTAACACTTTATTATTGTACATGGAAGCTATAGCCGGATCTTCTGTTTCATAGATAATTAACACTTCACGAAATTTATCCAATAATTGCAACAGTTGCGAACGTCTCAAATTTTCAGAGTACATTATTTCTTCCAGATGATGTTCGCTTTTAAAATAACCGGTTTGATACAATTTAACCATTAATGCCAAATCGTCTAAACTACCCGATGCAGGTATACGTCGAATGGCCAATCGTTCGGATTCTTCGAAAACTTGAAGCAAGTCTTTTATCTTCTCTTCATCTTCGATGGAGGCAATACTTTCGCAATTATCAGTGCTAAGTGAAGCGGTCATGCTTAAAGCCATATAAATTAAGAAAGCAGTACTTCTATGCGTGTGTACATATTAAATAGAAAATATAACCGATGAACTCCTCTCACCTGAAGTTGGACTTATGACTGGAGGAAGGCTGTGCAGCCAAATTATCGGAAGCTGCCGAGCCAACACCTGAATAACAGCGCTCTTCAGTCATAGAACGTCGACTAGTATGCGGTACCGGCAAAGGTTGACTGGATAAACTTAGTAGAGAACCGGCGCCTCTAGCGTGTTGGCAGAAGAGAAGAAATAATTTTAAAGAAAATATGTTTAAGCTAGTTCAAGACCTTTTCACATTGCATGGCATGGTATCAATAACATTCCACCTATTCTATTACGGTCTTTTTTGTATAATTACATATACATATATATACATATGCAATGCATAATAATAAATCACAAACATTTATTCCGACATGCCGAGCAATGAAACATATAACGTGAAGAAATTCGAATACCCAACACCTAGAATCAATTCAATATATGATTTTTTCACATTGTTGTGAATGATATAAGGGGAAAAATGCACAGTACCGCCTGATCGATCGGCTATAATAAGTACTAATCCGGTAATTTTTTAAATTATCTTTGGCTCATGATAAACTAACTTCACTTTCTTATGTTTTTCATCGTAAAAAATGTTACATGACATCCCTTCATTCATTGCAGGCAATGCACAATTTCCCAAATTATAATGATTAGAAGACTTCTGTAAAAACTCCGTTCCTCTGCTCGATTGAGGTTACTTTAATTTAAGAGAAAATAAAGAACGTTTAAGGAGCGAGATCAGGTTCTTATCAAGCACTTCAAATTTTCGGAATAACAAATTGAACTAGAGAACCAATGCAAGTTCTCGGTGATGGGTATGCTATATAAAGTTACACTTCTATTATAACTTACAAATCATCATCACTTATATTACTGGCACGACCAGCTGTTATGATATCTTCATTGCAGCCAACAATAGAAGTTGGTAAGTCCATAAGAGAAACAGACTCCAAGATTGCATCGCACTCACCATCACTGTCCATTAATTCCTCCAGATCGCTGGGCATAAATTGTACATAAGTGTGTAATTGCATAAGTAAGTGATGCTGCAACATCCACAAGACCATTTGTGCCAAGATACCCTGGCGAGCAGATTGCTGTAGTGGTGTAGTCAAATGTCCAATCGAGGTGGGCAATGAAAAATCAGAAATCACTTCGAACAAGGACATGCCGGGAAATCGAATGGCAAATTTTTCCACCAAATGCGATTTAGTATGTAACGGAGCATCCGGAGCAATTACGTATACATTTGTTTCGCATAAGGGATATATAATTGTCGCCTTCGCCCAGTACACTAAATGCGAAACCAATTTGTAGACGTGATCAATACTGAGATCGGCATCGGAGGCCATACTTTGCAGACTCATTAACGGTGTATAAACTTCCACCAGCTGGAGTAGCATACGGGCACCCACTGGTGGGATGCAGTCTAACAATTCAGCGAAATCTACCAGTAATAGCATTCCGTGATATGGTTTCAGGGAACTCAAACAACGATCGATCATTTCCGGATCAACCATGCTACCTTTTTTATGCAACTGATGAGTTTTTGCGGGCAAACAAAAACTTAAGGTAAGATTCTGATTAATGCTGGCATTTAAAAGCCCTGTGGTGCATAAGTCATGATATATCGTCTTTAGCGATTGAGCCAAACTGCAGCGTTCAGATATTAAATCAAAAGCTCTTTCTAAAGGCTGCTGCTGTGAGGATATCTCATCATGGGTGCGAGCCATTACCACCGTCTCGTCGCTAAGATAACCCACACGCTGTTCTTCTACTTTCAGTGCCAACCCTAATCTTTTACTCAAATCATAATAACATTTTACAATGGAGTAGCTAGCCTGCGCATGTAGAGCAAAGACAATGTTAATTAACATCTGCTGTGGTTGAGGCTTTTGACAATTTTGTATGGCTAACGGTTGCTGTGTGGCAGAAATTGCCGGCATTCCATTTTGACTATTCAATATGTTTGATCTCAGTTCTCTTCTTTGCACTAGAGTGGGATGACTAACAAAACGTACATCGTTAATTTTAAGTTCAAATTTTTGATTACATAGTTGTGGTTTCACTGCAAATAGAGGTGCCAAAACCTCGTCGGCAAATCCTTGCAATTGCCCAGCTTTATTCACTGCTATATGATTGTTGCTGATAGGCGGTAGCGTTTGCAGTAAATCGTCGATATTTTGTAAAGCAAACCGACCGCGCTTCTTTGGCTGTTCTCCTAAACCTTTTAAACTCATTATGCTGCTGCTGCTGTCAACATGAGGCACCGCGGAATTTGCAGCCAGTGCCTTCTCGGTATTTTGTGTTTGATAGGGATAACGGTACAACAAGCGATCGCCTTTACTATCCAAATAGACTAAAACAATTGCCATTGGATTAACTTCCATTACGTACCCAAAATGGATGAAATTTGATAAAGTTTTATTAGTAACTGTCGAAGCCCAATATACAAACTTTCTTCTTCTTCTTCTACGAATCAGCAAATCAGCAACAGATGTTTTGCTGAGTTGAGTAATATGCAAAAATTATATTTTCCAGTGTAAAGTTTTGTTTTCTCTTCAGACAGTGTTGGAAAACACCTAAAAATTGAAAACAACTCTTTTATGAAAAATGTCATCATTCAACAAGAAGTAATGAAATCTGATACATTGACGCGGTTTTTTTTCCCAACGAGCCACGTTATTGAAAATAGTTCGGATCAGAGTACTTTTTCAACGACTTGCTTATTTTAAAAAGTCGTTATGCTAGTAACAATAGAGTGAGGCAAGGTATTTAATGATGGGCCATGGTCCAACATAATGTTTTTACTTGTTTCATTTATCTGTCTGTGGTTAACATTCGAGCAAAAGTCATAATTTGATAATGATCTGAAGGAGAATCTAAACTTATTTGCAGTTTGTGCCAACACTCCATTTCCTTCAATTTTCGTATTACTTTTAGCAAAGCTTGCCTAAAAAGTTAGCGTCCGCCTACACTGGCTCGTTAATCTAATTGGCTTCTTCTGTGGCAAATGGCTCGTTTAGAGCGTCCTTTAAGTATAATGGGGTAATAGGTCTTCTGAAAATACAAAGATCATATCCATATGCTACCATATATTCTAAACTTCCACATATTGAGATTTCTTGAGAGAATGTTGTGGCTTTGTATTCAAATGATTATCAACCTCCTATTTATTAACTCTATTAGTAAATTGCCAAAAATAGGATTTCGATATCTGCCTTATGCCCTTTACTTCCGGCGTGGATTTAGTATAACACTTTATTATACCACACAATTGAAATGTGTGTAGCTGCAGTAAAAATGTTACTAATTAATTTAATTAATTTTATGGGAATGCCGGCCTTTAGTTTAATCACACTTCCATCCATATTTTTCGCGAAAAATTGTGCCTAACTCAACACATACATCTACTAAGAATATTTCATTCAGCCGACCAATATGCCGTCGCGTATACAACACTTCATGTGGCAAATGCGGGCGGAAAGTCCAATGAATCATTTACCAAAGAAGTCAAGACAGAGTAATGTTAGACGTCCTCATCATTTTTAAAAGGCGTCAGAAGACATCATTTTTCAAATTCAATGCTTTTAGAATATATTAGTGTATAAAAGCACTGGATGTATTGTGAACCTCATTGCATTATCAAAACAAAATCGCTGCGTTTGAGAAACGAGCGTATAATTAGACTGGTAAACACGTATCTGAAAGTAAACTTTTATTCACGGCCAAGCCGATAATTGATAGACGTCGTCATCCTGATTGCGTAAGACTTTCGTCTTAGCTTCGTTGCTATCACTCATATGTAAATGAAAGAGCAGAAAAAAAAACA